ATGTGAAATATTTGTATATATGAAACATTTGGTAAATCTTTTCACGAATTTTTATAATGGTGGTCTCATACAGTATTCATTTGTCCTTTTGTGATTGATTTATTTCACTCAGCATAATGCCTTCCAGATTCATCCATGTCATGATATGATTCATGGATGCATCATTGTTCATTATTGTTGTGTAGTATTCCATTGTGTGTATGTAGCATAGTTTGCTTATCCATGTGTCTTTTGATGGGCACTTAGGTCTGGTGTTCTGAGGTGAATTTGAGTTCTGCGCCGCACTTTTCTCCCGCTTCATCAGGGAGTCTCTGTTGTGCTCCCTGTCAGGGCAGTCATTGATGGTAGCCAGGCGCTATCTAGTTTCTTCTGGTCTCAGGCTGATGGGGTCTCTGGTTTATGTGGCCCATTTGTCTCTTGGGCTAATGTTTTCCTTGCGTCTTTGGTATTCTTCATTCTCCTTTGCTCCAAGTGGGTTGGGACCTATTGATGTCTCTATATGGCCGCTTGCAAGCTTTCAAGACCCCAGATGCCTCTCACCAAAGTGGGGTGCAGAACGTTTGCTTAATAAACTTTGTTATGCCAACTGACCTAGATGTCCCGAAAATCATGACCCCCACCCCTCAGCCCCAGCTACTCTGTCCCTCAAAGTGTTTGGTTGTGTTCAGGAAACTTCTTAGCTTTTGGTTTGGTCTAGTTGTGCTGACTTCCTCCTGTATTGTGTGTCATCCCACCATTCACCTAAGACGATTCTTGTCTACTGTCTAGTTAGTGATTTCCTCTCTGCCTCCATCCCCATCCTCATAACCATCAAAGAGTGCTTTTTTCTTTGTTTAAACCTTTTCTTGAGTTCTTACACTAGTGGTCTCATACAATATTTGTCCTCTTGTGACTGACTCATTTCACTCAGCATAATGCCCCCCAGATTCATTCACACTGTGAGATGTTTTACAGATTCACCATTGCTCTTTATCATTGCCTACTATTCCACTGTGCGTATGTACCATAATTTGCCTATCCATCCATCTTTTGATGGGCATTTAGGTTGTTTCCATCATTTTGCTACTGTGAATAGGGCTGCGATGCACAGGGGTGTGCATATGTCTATTCGTGTGACGGCTCTTATTTCTCTAGGATATATTCCTAGGGGTGGGATTGCTGTGATATTTCTATTTCTAGCTTTTTAAGGAAATGCCCTATCGATTACCAAAATGGTTGTACCATTTTACATTCCCACCTGCAGTGCATAAGCGTCCAAGCTCCCACAGCTTCTCCAAAATTTGTTATTTTCTGTTTTTTTTTTAACTCCTGCCAGTGAAACAACAACAACAGGCTTGTTGTAAAGAGCAAGAAGGAATGCATGCCCAGCACTCAGCACAGTGCTAGACAGAAGGACGCACAGGGGGAGGGTCAAAAGCCTGTTGCCCTTGAGTCAATTGTGACTCATGGCAACCCCATGTGTGTCACAGTTGATCTGTTCTCCATAAAGTTGGAATGGCTGAGTTTTTAGAGTTAGATACCAGGCCATTCTTCTGAGGAAAGCCACACAGGAGGAGGAATAATTCCTGAGGCACTAAGCTTGTGGAGGAGGAATAAAGGTCCTACACCAATCACTGGCAGCTTGTATTTTAGTAAACCCTCACTGAATATGGTGGTTATAGTTTTCCCAAGCAGTCATGGAATCTGATTTTTGTGACCCTTACAGCTATAATGCAGAAGTGAATCACCCTTGAAATCTGCTGTACAGAAATCATGGAGAAATTTTCACGATTGGCATAAACTTGTTGCCGTCGAGGTGATTCCGACTCATAGCAACGCTGTAGAAAATTGTGTGCATATGATGAATTTGAGAGAGTTAAGTGATCTTGCTCAAAGCTTTTGATGGGGATAATATGATGGCAGAGATCGGTGGAAGAGTCATCCATGTGGCAAGTACGCTGAATTTAGAGCTTGATATTGCCGATGTAGAATAGCTGACAGATCACAATGAAGGGAAACTCACCAATCAGGAGTCTCTTAGTTTTCTAGTGCTACTAAAACAGAAAACCACAAGTAGATGGCTTTAACTGAAATGTATTTTCTCAGAGTTTAGGAGGCTAGAAGTCCAAATTCAGGGTGCCACCTTCAGGGAAAGGCTTTCTCTATCTCTGTCAGCTCTGGGGATAAAAGGTCATCATCATCCATCTTCCCCTGGGTCTAAGAGTTTCTCAGAGGAGAGACTCCGGGTCAAAAGAGATTGACTCAGGATACAACATAATCCTGTAGTTGAGTCCTGCCTCATTAAAATAACTGCCTCTAATCCTGCCTCATTAACATCATAGAAGGTAGGATTTAGAAAAGCAAGTATAATAACATCTGATCGCAAAATGGAGGACAACCACACAACTCTGGGGATCGTGTCACAGTCAAGTTGACGCATATTTTGGGAGGACACAATTCGATCCAAGACAAAGTACTTGATGGATTTTGAAGGTGAAAGAAATGTTGAAGAAAAAAGAAAGAAATGAGGAAGGATAGAAATTGTTAAAACATTTGACAGTGAAAGGAGGAGCTGGAGTGTTTTCTAAACTAAATCAGTTGCTTGAAAACGTGGACTCAAAAGCTGATCACTTTGCTAAGGTTGATAGGTAGATTTAGGAAGCAGTGAGATGTTTTAGGGTAACATATGTGGTGGGGAAGGACCATACAGAAAACTCTAATTTTCTGGCCAGAAACACCATGACCATTCCCAGGGACAATCCAAATGATTCTGAACATTCCACAAGTGGAGTTATTTCAAATGGTGATGGCATTTCTAGTGAGAAAATTAGTGAGAAAAAATTAGGGAGCTGCTGAGGCTGTCATTTGATGAACTAGGCTTGAACTGGGGGGACTGTGATGGTTAAGGTTATGTGGGAACTTAACTGGGCCAGGATTCTCAGTCGTTTGTTAGATCGGTGGTAGTTTGGCAGTTACGTAATAATGCAATGACCTCCAGAGGAGATCTAATATAAGGCAATCACCTCCATGATGAGATTTCATATCACATACTCACTTCTGTGATGAGATCTGCTATGAGTAGCCAATGAGCTGAAAGGGGAATTTCCCTGGGGGTGTGCCCCGCCTCCAGTATATATATCTGGGCGTTCCGGCAGGGCTGTCTTCACTCAGGATCGTGCATCCAGCTCCTTACCAAGTGACCGCCGGTTCTTGGAACTTGTGCCAGCTGCCTGCCGTCTTAGCTGCTGATCTTGGATTCCTTGGCCTCTGCAGCCCATGAGCCAGTGACAGTGGTGTGGTGTTCGGATCTTGGGTTTGTCAGCCGCTGCAGCTACATGAATCCTGAGAAGTCTCCAGCCTGACGTCTGAACCCCAAATTTGGGACTTTCCAGACCCTACAACCATGAGTTGAAAGAAGGGAGAGTGTGGCCAGAAAGGTGTATAAAGGTTTCTGAGGAGCTAAGGAGGGACCCACGACGTGGAGCGCTGGAGTCATCACCTGAGGCTCTCCCTGAGGTCTTAGAAGACCCATCATGCCAACCACAGATCAGGATTGCTTTTGGAGCAGATATCAGCATGAACAGCACAGGCCCACCCAGGCTCTTGGACCTTGCAACCCAGAGTCTGCTGCAGGTGGAAGCCTGGGCCACTGCGGCTCTGAAGTCACTGTCAATGGAACTCTTCCCACCCTTGTTCATGGAGGCTGTGGCTGGGAGACACAGTGAGACTCTGAAGGCAATGGTGCGGGCCTGGCCCTTCACCCACCTTCCCCTGGGGGCTCTGATGAAGGCTCAGCAGCCTCACCAGGACATCTTAAAAGCTGCACTGCATAGGCTCGATGTCTTGCTTGCCCAGAAGATCCGCCCCAGGAGATGGAAACTGCAAGTGCTGGATTTACAGGTGAATGCCAACACCAGCTTCTGCAACATATGGTCTGGAACCTGGGACGGGTCCTCTGTGTGCTCATTCAAGGGGCCAGAGGCCATTCAGCCTAAGACTAAGAGGTGAAAAGTGGACAATTCCAGGAAGGAGGGAAAGCAACTGTTGGCCCCTGTGCAGGTGCTCCTAGAAGAACTTTGACTCCAGAAAGCCACCCCGGATGAATACCTCACCTTCCTCATGAAGCGGGCCAAGCAGAGAAAAGGTCTACCATACCTGTGCTGTAGGAAGCTGGAGTTTGTTGACATGCCATTCGGACATCTTCAGAAGATCCTGAAAATGGTGCAGCTGGACTGTGTCCAAGAGGTAGAAGTGAATGGCTCCTGGGACCTGTTCACCCTGGCCAGGTTTGCTCCTCCCCTGGGTCAGATGGTTAATCTGAGCAGACTCCTTGTCTCTCACATCCTCATGAATTCCTTCATTCCCTGGGTGGCGGAAGAAGTGGAGAAGCTAGTTTTCCAATTCAGCTCTCAGTTGCTTAGTCTACACCAGCTCCAGGAACTCTACCTGGACTCTGTCTTCTTCCCGGAAGGCCATCTAGACCAGGTGCTCAGGTGCCTGAAGACCCCCTTGGTGAGTCTCTTGATAACTAATTTCTTGCTTTTGGAGTCCAACTTGACATACCTGTTGTCATACTTGAACACCAGCCACCTAAAGTACCTGAATTTGAGTGATTTAAATATGATGGGCTTAAGTCCTGAGTTTCTGCAAGTGCTGCTAGAGAGATCCTCAGCCACCCTCCACTGCCTGGAATTAGATGGGTGCGGGATCATGGACTACCAGCTAACCTCCATCTTGCCCACTCTGGGCCACCGCTCCCAGCTCACCAGCTTCAGCTTCCATGGAAACCCAGTCTCTGCAGAGGCCCTAGAGAGCCTGCTGCAGCACACCGTCCTGCTGAGCAAGTTCAGACTCAGACTGTTTCCTGTCCCCCTCGAGTGTTATGTGGGCCTCCAAGGTACTCTCAACCTGTGGAATCTTCGAGGCTATCTGGCCGAGCTGAGACTGATACTGCTGGACTTAGAGCTGCCCAATGCGGTCTTATTGCCCAGTGACAGCACCTGTTCCTATCATGCAATTCTCCTCTACTGTGACCTGATGTAATTTTCAATTGTACTTTAGATGAAGCTTTACAGAGTGAGTATGTTTCTCATTAAACAATACACATATTGGTTTGTGACATTTATTGCTAACCTTACAACACGTCAACACCCTCCCCTTCTCGACCTTGGGTTTCCCATCAGCAGCTTTCCTGTGCCTTCCTGCCTTCTTGTCCTTGCCCCTGGGCTGGTGTGCTCATTTAGTCTCCTTTTGTTTGATGGGCCTGTCTAGTCTTTGGCTGAAGGGTGACCCTCAGGAGTGACTTCCATACTGAGTTCGAAGGGTGTCCAGGGGCCATCTTCTTGGGGTTTCTCCAGTCTAGTAGGTGAGAAGTCTGAATTCAGGGCACCAGCTCCGGGGGAAGGCTTTCTCTCTCTATCGGCTCTGGAGGAAGGTCCTTGTGATGCATGAGTCTTCCCTCTGTCTGGGAGTTTCTACGCGCAGGAACCCTGGGTCCAAAGCACACGCTCTGCTCCTGGCGCTGCTTTCTTGGTGGCATGAGGTCTGTGACTCTCTGCTTGCTTCTCTCTCCTTTTATATCTTGTAAGATAAAAGGTGATGCAGAACACGCCCCAGGGAAACTGCCTTTACATTGGATCAGGGATGTGTTTTGAGAAAGGCTTTTACATTCCACCCTAATCCTCTCCAACATGGCCCAATCCTGCCTCTTGAACCCCTGGCAGAGATTAGGATTTACAACACATAGGAAAATCACATCAATCACAAAATGGAGGACACAATAATGGGAATCATGGCCTAGGCAAATTGATACACGTATTTTTGGGGGACAAAATTCAATCCCTGACACTATGTGGTGCCAATTGAGGTACATAACCCCTGAAACCATGGTCTGCAGCTGTCAGCCCAGTAATTCGGTCCCTCAAGGTTTCTGGATGTATTTGTGAAACTTCTATGACCTTACCTTGGTCAGGCTGTGCTGACCTCCCCAATATTGGTTACTGTCTTCAAAAAAAACTAAACAAACAAAATATCAAATCCTTTGAGGTCGAGTGGATTCCGACTCATAGCAGCTCTATGTGACAGAGTAGAACTGCCCCATACGGTTTCCAAGGAGCACCTGGTGGATTTGAACTGCCAAGCTTTTGGTTAGCAGCCAAGATATTAACCACTGCGCCAGCAGGGTTTCACCGCGTACTGTCTTACCCTTTGTCAAAGTTACCATGAATCTCTTGTCTAGTTAGATTTTCTCTCTTCCCACATCTCCCCTTCCTAGAAACTGTCAAAGATTGTTTCTTTCTGTTTGTAAACCTTTTCATAAGTTTTTATAATAGTGGTCTCATACACTATTTATTTGTCCTTTTGTGCCTGAATACTTCACTCAGCATAATGCCTTCCAGATTCATCCACATCGTGAGATGATTCATGGATGCATCATCGTTCTTTACTGTTGCATAGTATTCCATTGTGTGTATGTAGCATAGTTTGTTTATCCATCTTTTGATAGGCACTTAGGTCTGGTGTTTTGTGGTGAATTTCAGTTCTGCGCCATGGTTTTCTCCTACTCCGTTGGGGAGTCTCCGTTGTGCTCCCTGTCAGGGCAGTCATTGATGGTAGCCAGGCACCATCTAGTTTCTTCTGGTCTTAGGCTGATGGAGTCTCTGATTTATGTGGCCTTTTTGTCTCGTGGGCTAATATTTTCCTTGTGTGTTTGGTATTCTTTATTCTCCTTTGTTCCAGGTTGGTTGGGACCTATTGATGCATCTAGATGGCTGCTCGAAAGCTTTTAAGACCCCAGACGCCTCTCACCAAAGTGGGGTGCAGAACATTTGCTTAATAAACTTTGTTACACCAACTGACCTTGATGTCACCCGAAATCATGATCCCCAGCCCCCAGCCCCAGCTATTCTGTCCTCAAAGTGTTTCCTTGTGTTCAGGAAACTTCTTAGCTTTTCCTTTGATCCAGTTGTTCTGACTTCCCCCTGTATTGGGTGTTTCCCGCCCTGCACCTGAAACAATTCTTGTCTACTCTCTAGTTAGTTAAGTTCCTCTCCCTCCCTCCCCACCCTTTTATCCATCAAAGAATGCTTTTTTTCTGTGTTTAAACCTTTTCTTGAGTGGTCTCATACAATGTTTGTTCTTTTGTGACTGACATTTCACTCAGCATAATGCCCTCCAGATTCAGCCATGTTGTCAAATATTTCAAGGATTCATCATTGTTCTTTACCAGTGCATAGTATTGCATTGTGTGTATGTACCATAATTTTTTATCCATTCATCTGTTGATGACCATTTAGGTTGTTTCCATGTTTTTGCTATTGTGAATAGTGCTGCAATAACATGGGTGTGCATATGTCTATTCGTGTGATGGCTCTCATGTCTCTAGGATATATTCCTAGGGATGGGATTGCTATAATATTTCTAGCTTTTGAAGGAAGTGTCATAGCGATTTCCAAAATGGTTGTACCATTTTACATTCTCACTGGTGGTGCGTAAGAATCCAAACTCCCAGCAATCACTCCAAAATTTATTTCTTTTTTAAATTTGCTGCCAGTAAAACAAGAACAGTAATAGACTTACTATGAAGAGCAAGATTGATGTTGGCTGTTGGTTTTCTATAGATGCCCTTTATTACGTTGAGAAATTTCCCCTCTATGCCTATTTTATTGAGAATTTTTGTGGGTGTGTGTTGGACTTTATTAAAAGCCTTTTCTGTGTTGATTGAGATGAATATGTGATTCTTTTCTTTTGTTTTATGTATGTGGGTGGATTGATTTTCTAATGTTGAAACATCTTTGCATACCTGGTATGAATCCCACTTGTTTGTGGTGTATTTTTTTTTATATGAGCCTGAATTCTATTGGCTAGAATTTTGTTGAGAAGTTTTGCATCTATATTCATGAGAGATAATGTTCTGCAATTTTCTTTTTTTGTGGTATCTTTTCCTGTTCTTAGTATCAAGGATACGCTAGATTCATAGATTCAATTCAGAAGTATCTCTTCCTTTTCTATGTTCTGAATTATTTTAAGTAGTACTGGTACAAGCTCTTCCCTTAATGTTTGGTAGCAATCTCCAGTAAAGCCATCTGGGCAAGGACTGTTTTTGTTGTTGGCAGTTTTTTAAAATCATCTTTTAACTCTCTTCTCTTGTTACGGGTCTGTTCACATTTTCTACCTCAGTTTGTGTTAGTTTAGGGAGGTAGTGTGTTTCTAGAAATTTGTCCATTTCCTCTAAGTTTTTATGTTGGAGTATAGTTTTTCATAGTACTCTATTTTAATCCTTTTTATTTCAGTTGTGACTCTTGGAATGTCCCCCATTTCACTTCTTTTTTTTTTTTTTTTTTGGTTATTTTTCATCCTTTCCTGTTTTTCTTTTGTCAATTAGACCAATGGTTTGTCAGTTTGGGGTATCCTTTCAAAGAATCAGCTTTTGATTTTGTTAATGTTTTCTATTCTTCTTCTATTGTCTATTTCATTTATTTTTGCTCTGATCTTTATTATTTCATATCTCCCCATGTCTGTGGACTTCTTTCACCATTCTCTTTCTATTTGTTCGAGTTGTACAGGTAACGTTCTGATTTTATCCCTTTCTTGTTTTTTGATGTGTGCATATATTGATATAAATTGACCTCTGAGCTCCCAAGTGGATGGGGCTGAGGGATAGTCAGGGTGGGGTCCAGAGGACCACGTGGGAACCTCTCAGGCAGCACTCAGCATGAGGTACTCATAGGCTGGAGAGAAGGGAAAGGATATTATCTGTGGAGCTAAGTGGGCAAGTGAAAGAAGAGAGAGAATTAAAAGTAGAAAAATAAAAAGGTGAAGGAAATAAGAAAAAAGTAAATAAAATGGCAGCAGGGTATGATTTGGTGGATGTGAGTGGGGTAGGCAGTGTGAGACTCTGTACTGGTGACTCTCTGAGCAGAGCATTTCAGTTTGTCCAGAAGGGGCTTGGAGGTGGGAGAAAGGAAAGGGAAGAAGGCAAAGAGAGAGAAGAAACCAATCAACCAACAATGAAATAAAATGAAAACGGTAACAACAGAAAAAAATACGATGGTGGGAAAGTGGGTCATTGGGGGCAGGACAGAAATGGAATGTTAGCAAGCCAATGTCTCTCTCACTGGGTGGTATGGCACGGTTCATCAGCAAGAGGCAGAGGCAGCACAGGGCCTAGGTAGGAGGCAGAAGGAAAAGTGAGAAGATGAAACATGAAGAAAAATAAAAAATATGGAGCTGAGGGAGCTGGCCTGTTCAGCAACCCAGACCTGGGAAGACCGTTTGCCAGAGGCTCTCCAGCCAAGAGGTACAGCACAGTCTAGCAAGCAGTGGTGGCACATGGGGCTAGGTGGGTGGGAGAAAAGAAAGGAAGGGAGAGAGAGAGAAGAATCAGTAACACCAAAAAAGAAAAAAACAACCAAAATCCAAAACCAAAAGAAAGCAAACAAACAATAAATTAATTAATAAAATGGCACTGAAGGAGCTGGTCAGTAGGCACAAACCCTGGGAGGCCACGTGCCAGTGATTTTCTGCCAAGTGGCACAGCATAGCCACTCTAGAAGGATCAGGGATGGTGCACAGGGCTAGGTGGCTGGAGAAAGGAAAGTAAGGAAAGGAGAGAGAGAAGAAACAAAAAAAGAATGAAATAAAAAAACAGAAGTAAACAAACCAAGGAAGGAAAGGAAAGAAGGAAGACACAGTGAAGCTAGCTGGGCAGGAGAAAGGAAGGAAGGGAGAGAGAGAGAAGCAACAGTAACAACAACGAAAAAACAAAACACCAATAACAAAAAGAAATTGCACTAAAGGGGCCAGCCAGTGGGAGCGAGGTGGACCCGAGGAAGAGTGAGCTAGTTAGTGTCTCTCTGGCTAAGCGATGGTGGCCTGTTTGAAAATGGCACAGACCTCATAGAAGTAATAAGTGGGGGGTGTGGGGGTGGGAAAACGTGTATCTCTGGTTACAGGGTGCTCTGTCTCCTGTTGGGAGCTCCTTGAAGTTGCCCTCCTGTACTTCCTGTCCACAGTCCTTGGTGACTGAGGTCCAAGATGACTAC